TGGATGGATGGATGGATGGATGGATGGACTGTTAATCCTACTCGTTAGTTGTTTGTTTTTGTTTTAAGCGTCTACTAAATTTATAATTGTCAATGTAAACGTGTAATGTTCTGGACACTTAAGGGGCCATGGACCTCATGTTGAAGACCTTAACCTAAACTCCTTCTTGTTTTTTGTTTTCCAGGTCTTGGCTCAGTACCAGTGACTAACTAACCAGCGACACCTCAGCTGGGACCAGTGAGCACATCTGAAACGTCTCGTCTGATTCCTTCAACGACACAGAGAGGTAAACACTCCACAACACCGGGAATCGAACCCTTATAGCCTTAATGTTAACGTCCATTATTCCTCGTTTCTGTATGTTTTCTGCTCTCCCTCCTTAAACACCGAGGATTGGTTGAACAGGTTGTGACACATTCTTCTGCAGATATAATTTGGATAAATCTCACCACTAATGAAACGTAACAGCTCATTACCACAAATTGTGGCTTCAATTTGGTGAAATAAACGTAGTGAGACCGCGGTGTGTGAGCGGCGTGAACCCCGATGGAGTTAGAGAACGTCAGTCTCTCTGCTGTAACTGGCAGCTGAGTCTGAACGTCAGTCTCTCCCGTTCAGAGAATATTAACGCTCCAGACTCTGATTGGTGCACGGAGCTCCGTCGCTCCGACACCGTCGCTGTTCCAATCAGCGACGGTGGACTGAGAGCTCGGGGGAAAAGGAAACATGTGTCACAGCCTGGGCCAAATAATCCTGGAGCCTACACTTTGTAGAGTACAGTACAACTTGACTGTAACTTGACCACATACCAGTGTGTACCACAGGGTGTGTGTGTGTTACAGATTTACTGTCTCTAAGACAGAGCTAAGATCAACCCCCAGGGGACGGCTTAGACGTCATGAGGGTTTCATGGTGAAGGGACCATGTGTACCAGGGGTGTCAAACTCATTCTGGTTCAGGGGCCCACATAGAGCCTGATTAGACGTCAAGTGGGCCGGACCAGTACAATTATAACAAAGGCCTATAAATAACGTTTTTCCCCTTTGCTTTAATGCAAACAAGTTTAAGTATATTAGACATGAAGTGTCTAATATACTTGTTTTTCTGTACTTTGAAAATTCATCATTAAGCTGGCCGAATTGAGCCACCTAGCGGGCCGATTTTGGCCCACGGGCCGTATGTTTGACACCCCAGATGTATACAGAGTAAGTGGAGAGTTTAGTTTAGTTTAGTTTAGTTTAGTTTGGTTTAGTTTAAAGTGAGTCGTTGTTTTCCTCTGATTACAGATCAACTAAGACCAAACACCAGGCTCAGGCTCAGGTACAGGTTGACCTCTGTCTGACTGTGAGGTCAAACTACAGGTTTAGACTTTGTGGTTTGACCTCATTTTATTTAGTTTCACACCTAGAGTAAACAACCAATCAGAACTGTTGCTGTAGTCCAGAGTGAAAAACAACAACTGACAAATGTGAACGACGGTTAAAATCCTTTATTTTCACTTCATTCATCTTTTTTTTTCTTTTCTGTTTCAGGTCTGATTTCTGATCCACCGGAGAGTTCCACATGAGGACGGGCCTCCCTGGGGGGGGGACAGACAGAGAGGTAGGGAGAGGGAGATAGGTAGGTAGATAGAGGGGGAGGTAGGTAGGGAGGGAGAGATGAGACGGGAGAGAGAGGGTTCAATCCAAATGTAGTGAACAGAGAGGGGTGGGAAGAAGAAAAAAAAAAAAGTTAATATTTGCTGGTCTATAAATCATGAGACTTGAACCACGCACAAAAAGCCATCCATCACAGCGCCAAAAGGCCTCGTTGGGGTTGAAAGGTCAAAGGGCTGAGTTATGTTAGAAGGTCTCTCCACTCCCAGGGGACAAATTAGACCGGTCGGTGAGCGAGGCAGGGTAAAGCCATCGCTTTCGTCTGCCAGGACTCAGCCCGTGGGTTTCCAGTCTGTTGCTATTGACCATATACCCGGAAAAAAAAAAGGGCTGTGAGCAAATAGCCCTGGCGTAACCCCTCGTCTGGGCTCAGTCTTTCATTCTGACTGATAGCTCGCTCACCGCATCAAGTCTTTTAATCCACACTCACTGTACTGGCTCACTTATACGTCAAAGTGAAAAAGTTGTGCGGCGGCACTTTCCTGCTTCTTCACGCTTTCTTGGTCAATATTTCTCATCAGGTGCGAGGAGACAAATGACCTCCAGAGCTTTGACCTTGTCGTGCGTTATTGACAGGACCAGACAATGGCGGAATCTCAATTCCCAGACGTTCAATTTGTGTCCTGGACGTTTCACATCCAGCCATTAAATTCATCATTGTAACCGCCGCTTAATTATTTATTAAGCACATTCCCGGCAGCTTTCCCGAACGTGCCTTTCTAATTACTAAAATAACACATCAAGTATACAGACCTAGATTTACTAAATTTGCAAATGATACAAACCATGTTAACATAATCTGGCATGTAAATGGCGATTTAAAAATTAATGAGGCTTTAAATTTTAATTCCGAGTCTGAGACTTAACTGGTCACAGAGCCCTGTCTCGGGGAAAATGTGGCGTGAACGACGCGCAGAATGTGACATCGGAGTGATGGAGAGGCGGAGGGGATGTGACAGGACTCACACACGAAAGCTCACAACACAACAACC